ACTAGAACAGTTTAGCAAAAAATAATGTTGAAATATCTGTAGGGATATATGTGTTTATGAGGTTTAAGAACTTTGAATACAGCGCTGATAGATATAGGATACATATTTGTGAAATTGAATGACATTTAAGAGGTTATTTTGTTCGAACTCAGCATATTATTATTGATGTAGTCATATCATAGGATAATGTCTGTACAAATTGTGTATTAACTGTGCAAGTTGTCTTAGATTGTATTGTGCACGATATGTATTTGTGCATGCTGTGTATTGATTGTGCAGAATGAGTATTGATTGCATTTGTTCAAGTTGTGTATTGGCTGTGCAAGTTATGTAATGACTATATTGTAATTTTTGTATTGATTGTATTTCTGCAAATTGTTTATTGATTGTATTTCTGCAAATTGTTTATTGATTATATTTCTGCAAATTCTGTATTTTTGCATTATGCAGGTTTTGTGTTTTCATTTATTCAAGTTGTGTGTTTGCATTTGTGCAAGTTGTATATTAATTGTGCATGTTTTTAATTGTATTTGTGCAATTTGTGTATTTGTGTCATTTGTGTATTTGTGCGATTTGTATATTTGTAAGATTAGTGTATTTTTGCAGGTTGTGTATTGCATTAGAGGAAGTTGTGTAAATAGTGTATATGTGCTAATAGTGTGTCCATGCAAATTGTGCTTTAACTGTAGTAGAGGAAGTCATGCAATGTATTTTGTGCAAGTTCTCAATGTGTTATTTTAAAACAAAGGTCTTTGTGTGCAAGTGCAAAAATAATTTGCATGTTTATGAAATTGAGTAATTTTTTGGAAAGTGCATTTTGATTTACTTTGTGTAAATGTCACACTCTGTGTGTGTGTAAACATAATATTTTGTGTAAATGTAATGCTTTGTGTGTAAATGTGAGCATTTTATGCTGTATGACTGATTTTGTGTATTTTTAGTTTTGTACAAGTGTGACATTTTGTTAGTATTCTGATTAATTCTTTTATCTTAGTATATGACTTATCTTAAATTAGGAATTATTATTTAACTTAAGTATTATTTCAATGTAGCATAAACACCCCCTCGTTCAACCATGTTAACAAATTAGTGCAGCTAGGTGGATATTTTAATATGTGATTAGGCTTGAAGATGGTAACATTAGTGTTCGATTTGAGGGTTTCAGTATATACGAGTAATTAGCAATATTTTGACCTTGATTGAATATTATGTTTATCTTGTGGGTTTCCCGATTTTCATGCATTATTATTACTTAATGGAATTAACACAACACAATTGAAAGATTTATTGGAATGAATAAAACCTCATTTGTAATGTTGACAAAAACAGGCTACTGGATTTAAAGCAATGTATGTATGTATGTATGTATGTATGTATGTATGTATGTATGTATGTATGTATGTTATGTATGTATGTATGTATGTATGTATGTATGTATGTATGTATGTATGTATGTTGTATACTGGCAGTAGGTTTTCATTTAGACATGTTTCATTGAATATGGCTGCATATTTCGTGTTGATTATATTTTTGTTTAGGGCTTCTATCCCTCTGACTCAGGTTGACTACCTGAGTCGAAGCACCTGACAAGATGTAGGTGTACCTGACAAGATGTAGGTGTACCTGACAAGATGTAGGTGTACCTGACAAGATGTAGGTGTACCTGACAAGATGTAGGTGTACCTGACAAGATGTAGGTGTTCCTGACATGATGTAGGTGTACCTGACAAGATGTAGGTGCACCTGCCAAGATGTAGGTGTACCTGACAAGATGTAGGTGTACCTGACAAGATGTAGTTGCACCTGACAAGATGTAGGTGCACCTGACAAGATGTAGGTGCACCTGACAAGATGTAGGTGCACCTGACAAGATGTAGGTGTACCTGACAAGATGTAGGTGTACCTGACAAGATGTAGGTGTACCTGACAAGATGTAGGTGCACCTGACAAGATGTAGGTGCACCTGACAAGATGTAGGTGCACCTGACAAGATGTAGGTGCACCTGACAAGATGTAGGTGCACCTGACAAGATGTAGGTGCACCTGACAAGATGTAGGTGTACCTGACAATATGCAAGTGCACCTGACAAGATGTGTCTTGGTTTAATTGGAAGAGGCTATCTCCAAATGTCATATTTGTTCAAGGTTGGCTAAAAGAATTAAAATTAAATGTAGAATGTATAACACTTACTATATATTTACACAGCGCGACCCAAGCTCCTATGGTCCAGGGCCCACCTGCACCATGTTGCATAGGGTCAAGGTTCGCCTCCGGGAGAACCTCGTTCTCTCCACCGCCGAGATTTTAGCACAAATCTCCGCCACCGCCAACGTCTCACCGGCCGACATCCTGGAGACAAGCGAGGGGTGTCCACCTGCGCTTCTCCAGGGATTCGGACCTTAAGAAGATATTCACCACCACCGCCACGACCACCCTGCAAGACGCCGACCTCACCCTCTCGCCACTACGACGCTACCTGGCGGAGAGGACTGTTTTCGCCAGAAATATCAGCACATGGATCACCAACCGTGAAGAGGACGACATCCTCGCCAGCATCAACGACCAGAACCCGACGCTGACAGTGATAGTGGTCAAAACGATCTCCAACGCCGAAGTCAACTGCAGACCAACACTGAAGGTGACCTATCACGGTCATCACAGCAACCCACGCCACGGACTACAGAATTATGTGCATAGGAATCATCGTACCACCCACCCAAATGACCAATGAACGTTTCACGGAGCTCCAGCAGTACTTCAAGTGCTACCAGTACTCTCTCTACACCAGGAAATGAACCGAGTGAGCAGAGATGCAGTTTCTGCGCCCAGGAGCACCACTAAACGGACGCACATCCTCCCACCGACGCTGCCTGCTCTGCAATGGCCCACGCTCTGCGGTCTCACCTGACTGTCTCTTCTGGCAGGGGGAAATCCAAAAGATGATTGCTACTGCATCCTCCACCACCATACCTCGACCAGCAAACCCACTCCCGTCAGAATTCCCTGTCTTACCCGGGAACACACATGTGACTCCCTCACTACTGCCCAGCCCCACGGGACGCCGAACCCAGCCGACCGCGCCACCTCTGACCACACCACCACTGGCCCAGCCTGCAGCCTTCACCAAGATCATCCTTCTGCCTATCCTCCTTCACCTCGCCGACAAAATGGCGGGCAACGACAATACCCGCTACATCCCCGTCATCAACAGGCTGGTCGTCGCGAATGGACTTCAGACAGCTGCTGTATCTGATGACCTTCTTCCAGTTTCAACAACGCCCGGACTCTCTTCCCCAGGGACTCCTGAGCCGACACTATGGGGGCCCCTCACCGTCCGGCCACAGGGACTCCGCAGTCCCCAAGCTTGCCCCAATGACAGGGACGGCAGCAGCCCCCCAGGGCACTGCTGACCAGGACGACGAAGCAGACTCCGAAGGAAGCTGACCACGATGATTCGACTGACTCCCATGCTTCAGTCGTTGTCACCGGCTCTCCCGCCCCTCATGCGGCCGCCCAGGCATCATCTTTCCCCTCCAGATTCTGTACCGGCACAAACCAAACTGACATGTCCCTATGCTGCCTCCTCCGGATATATCCGACATGGCCGCAAACTTTCCAAAGATGACAGACAGCATAACTCCATAATCCACAACGACTACTGGGAATTCAAGTGCAGGGAAGCAGGACGGATCCTTAGCATGGTCGTCCCTCAAGAACGCCTCGACCACCTCTTCGACTACGGCACCTTGAAGAAGGAAATTCGACCAGACTACCAACATCAGGGAACCGGGATTAGGAAACCAATGCTCTTGTAACACCCGGACATCTTTACCTAGACCGGCCAGCCCACCGACAGCCTTAATGACTCTAGTGGCACTCAGCTATTAGTGACGTCTTTGCCCCATCAATTCACTGATCTGACCAACCCTATGGTCTTGGATTGGATTGGTGCAGCCATGGACCCCATCCCTACATCTCCAGTATCAGCTATTGATGCTGATAATGACTCCAGAGTGCTTCCACTTACAGGCTCACCATAGCTGGTGATACAGGGAAATTTTATTCCAGTAGCTGAATCTTAAAACAGCAACAACGGTTTCTTCATCTTGTGATGTGTGGTATGGTAAAACTACTCAATAACTCTGTCGAAAGAGCTTCTGCTTCACTCGTGTGTAGTCGGTGGTTCGAGTCTCCTAGAGCTCAAGTGAATGGAATGTTGTTTGGTCATCATATCTTTAGCCTCATTATTGTGACTAGAATGACGTAACCTGACATAGTCTGGTTACTTAAAATTTTGATAAATTCTGCATCCGAGTTTCTTTACCTTTAGGTTAGTTAAGAAGATAAGAATAGTGAAACTGCAGAAGTATTAGTATTAGTCCATACAAGGCAGCTCCTGTTTATATCTAACCAAAATTTTGCCCTTATATTTTGTATTTGTCTAACCTACGGTTGAAACAATCAAGTGCTCTCATGACTGTTATATTACCCGGTAATTTATTCTTTACCTCAACTACCCTATTTCCAGTGCAATGATCGCCATTGAGGTCTGATAAAGACCTTTAGTGCCCTCTGTATTCCTTTTTGCCCCTACCACTCACAGGATGAGTATAGAGTGCACAATAACTAGCCGCCTCCTGCAGCAACAATCAAGACCTATTTCCAAACTATTATCTACCCAGGTTTTTCCTGAATCTACACTTAGCCAATTTATATCCAGTGTTTCGTATTGTATTTTGTGTCTATAAATTAAACATTTTATTAATATCCCTCATTTGTTATGTCCGTTAATCCATCTGCATACTTTAGTCATTCTCTGCAGGACGGGTGTTGTACCCAGGGACCCGAGTGGCTGCATATAATTAACGCTTACCTAACCTTACGAAACCTTACCTAACCTTACCTTCAACTTATGGGCTCACTATAGCCTGTGCTACATGGACATTTCGTTCTGAATAGCTAAATCTAACACAACATTAAAATGTTTTTACCTGTACAGGCGATTTATATCCGGAAAACGTGGGTCTTCCCCTGGGTGAGGAGTACGAAGGCGCCACCTATTTCTTGAAGGAAATTCATTATGACAATCCTGACCTCAAGCAAGGTGAGGGTTGCCTCTACTTCACACCAGTTGAGCTTTAAACCATTATGTCCTTACCTTAAAGTTAGGTAGATATTACCCATTCATTATATTGGTTAATTCCTACACCAGGTCAGACAAAACTACCAATTATAACAGTTCTGAGGACATTAATCCCCCCATCTGGTTCATTATTACACAGCTCCCTGCATAAAACCATTCCCTCCATTGCTTCACCACAAGGTTGCAGGTCACTCCCATGTACAGTGACAGGAGCTCTGACTGGTGATGTTAGCCACTCTTTCCTTCATTACAGTCCAAATGAACACTTCCTGTATGGTTTAGTGTACAGTTTAACACAAAAATATAGGGAACTACATAGGGTATATTGTTATATGATAATAATAATAATAATAATAATAATAATAATAATAATAATAATAATAATAATTCATAGTCAACCCAAGTGTGCAGTAAGTGATGTCATACTCTCTCCGCCTCCAGCAATAAGTTGTGGTGAAGAACACAGGTAACAATAATTTATCCCTGTTTCCCTCTCACACACCAAACACATTAACACAATGGGGCACATCTTATACCAATTTTAGACTCTGTATGGCACGAGGCTCCTCCAGCAGCTGGGTTGTATCTATGAACCCTCACACAAAACATCTCTCTCTATGGAGGTAGTAATTGAATTGCATACCCATCCCCGTGCTGGCGTAACCACATCCTCCCCCACCCCTTACAACCCCCACCTGGCAGCTGTCAATACCTGTCAACTCTTGATCCCCACTTCTGAGAGGGAGCTCCCTCCTCCTTCACCATGGCGTTAATGGACTTACCATTCACTAATATCATGTCATAAACAGCGAGTGAGTGAAAATAATATCCACATGTTATTATTTTTATTTAAACTTCATTAAGTTTAGCAGTCAGGCAGTCTAGTAAATATCACACTCTCTAAATAGAGAAAGAGAGAGAGACAGAGAGAGAGAGAGAGAGAGAGAGAGAGAGAGAGAGAGAGAGAGAGAGAGAGACATAGAGAGACAGACTGACAGACACAGACCGTGAGAGGAGAGAGAGAGAGAGGGAAAGCAGAAGAGTAGAGAGGAGAGGAGAGAGAGAGAGGAAGAGAGAGAGAGAGCGATGAGGGAAGATGAGAGAGGAGAGAGAGAAGGAGAGAGGAGAGAGAGGAGGAGACATAGAGAGGACAGACTGACAGACACAGACCGTGAGAGAGAGAGAGAGAGAGAGAGACGAGAGAGAGAGAGGACGAGAGGGAGAGAGGAGAGAGGAGAGAGAGAGAGAGACGAGAGATGAGAGAGAGAGGAGAGACGAGACAACAGACAGACAGACAGACAGACAGGACAGACAGACAGACAGACAGACAGGACAGACAGACAGACAGACAGACAGACAGACAGACAGACACACACAGACCATGAGAGAGAGAAACACTTACACTGAGCATGAGATAGGGAGAAAATAAATATATATTCTTGCATTGACTGATCATGCTACTTTTTCCACAACTGGATAAAAATGATAAACAGCATAATGTCACCATTTGTTGTCTGACAATATATATAGTGAGTGAAACTTATATAAGTAATTAAACAACACACACACACACACACACAACCACACACACACACCACACACACACACACACACCACACACACACACACACCACACACACACGCACGCACACACACACCACACGCACCACACACACACACCACACACGCACACACACACACACACACACACCAGATGAGCCACAGAGACGTTAGAAAGAATTTTTTCAGTGTCAGAGTAGTTAATAAATGGAATGCACTAGGAAGTGATGTGGTGGAGGCTGACTCCATACACAGTTTCAAATGTAGGTATGATAGAGCCCAGTAGGCTCAGGAATCTGTACACCAGTTGATTGACAGTTGAGAGGCGGGACCAAAGAGCCAAAGCTCAACCCCCGCAAGCACAATTAGGTGAGTACAATTAGGTGAGTACACACACACACGTACGTAGAGAGGATTGAGCTACGAGGAAAGGCTAAAGGAGCTGAACCTCACATCCCTGGAAAACAGAAGAGTAAGGGGAGACATGATAACCACCTACAAAATTCTCAGTGGAATTGACAGGGTGGAAAAGACACTCTTCAGCACTGGTGGTACGCGAACAAGGGGACACAGGTGGAAACTAAGTACCCACATGAGCCACAGGGACGTTAGAAAGAATTTTTTCAGTGTCAGAGTAGTTAACAGGTGAAATGCATTAGGCAGTGATGTGGTGGAGGCTGACTCCATACACAGTTTCAAGTGTAGATATGATAGAGCCCAATAGGCTCAGGAACCTGTACACACACACACACACACAATGTAATGTAATGTAATGAAGATAGGTGTAGGGAGCAGGAGGCCAGATACAAGGTATCATCTGGGAGAGGAAATTCTTCAGGAGTCAGAGAAGGAAAAAGACTTGGGGGTTGATATCACGCCAGACCTGTCTCCTGCAGCACATATCAAGCGGATAACATCAGCGGCATATGCCAGGCTGGCCAACATACGAACGGCATTCAGAAACTTGTGTAAAGAATCATTCAGAACTTTGTATACCACATATGTCAGGCCAATCCTGGAGTATGCAGCCCCAGCATGGAGTCCATATCTAGTCAAGGATAAGACTAAACTGGAAAAGGTTCAAAGGTTTGCCACCAGACTAGTACCCGAGCTGAGAGGTATGAGCTACGAGGAGAGACTACGGGAATTAAACCTCACTTCGCTGGAAGACAGAAGAGTTAGGGGGGACATGATCACCACATTCAAGATTCTGAAGGGGATTGATAGGGTAGATAAAGACAGTCTATTTAACACAAGGGGAACACGCACAAGGGGACACAGGTGGAAACTGAGTGCCCAAATGAGCCACAGAGATATTAGAAAGAACTTTTTTAGTGTCAGAGTGGTTGACAAATGGAATGCATTAGGGGGTGATGTGGTGGAGGCTGACTCCATACACAGTTTCAAGTGTAGATATGACAGAGCCCGATAGGCTCAGGAACCTGTACACCTGTTGATTGACGGTTGAGAGGCGGGACCAAAGACCCAGAGCTCAACCCCCGCAAACACAACTAGGTGAGTACAACTAGGTGAGTACACACACACACACACACACACACACACACACACATGCCTACCAAACACGACATTCCCCGAGGACCGCAATCTCCCAGGGTAGCTCACTACCACATTACCGACCCCACGTACCCACCCCTGCTGGTACTACCACTCCCCTCCCACAGGGGTAATAGTCTTTAAACCGTTTATCATTCAGTTTTTATATCATCTTATATCTTAACCTATTTTATGTAAATATTTATTGATAACCAGTGAGTATAGCCAACATGTCTTGATATTTTTATTTATCCAGTGTGCTTGCAAGTTCAACTCTGATTTATGCATCTTCCATTTAGCAGTATTTATTTTTTTTATAACCGTGGGTAGCTAGTACAGGTGTACGTAGATTAAGAGACTGCGGTGTTATTATTTTGTTATGCGTTCCTCCACCTCGAAAGGAGAATGAGGTAGTCTCAGTTTGTTCTTACATGCTCCTACAAATTCTCAATATGTTCTTACATATTTCTTCACATTCTCAGACTATTACTACATGTTCTCTGTACAGCATGCTGCACGTTATTCATGTTCTCAGCTCACTACTCTCTTTTCTTATTCTTACTAGTTCTTACATGTTCTCACTCTGTTCAGTTCATATTATTCACACATTCTCTGTTCTCATTTCTTAGTCTTTCCCTTTCTTTACGTTATTATCGTTCTTTGCAAGTTCAAATCATTTTCTTTACAACTTCACTTCAGGCACTTTTCAATATCTTGTTTTTTTCTTCCTTTCAGTAATTAGTTCATTGCTACATATTATCAACTGCATTACTGTTTGTCAACAAATTATTTTTTTTTGTTAGTTCAAAATATATATATTTTAGTTAGTTTCAAAGTATTTTATTTATCCATTCACCAAAATTTAACTGTGAAACTATGCCAGTGAATTTCTGTTTATCATCTCGATATTTCTTACAAACAATGTTCTTAAACAAACGTTCGCTTTATGCAGTTACATATTTACTAAGACAATTTTTTCTTTGTTTTTAACTAACACTACACTTTGCACTACTGAAAATAGATGAGTAAATCATCTTTGAATCATTTCTTGACTAAAATATCTCTCCGAAACATCTTTGCTCATCAAATATTACTTTTATCTCATCTTTATTCTTCATGAACACACTCAAAGTCGTCAAAATACAATTCATGCCATCAAAAGGTATTCTCAGTGACATAAAGAATACACACAAAGGCGTCAAAAATACTGTTCATGCAATCAAAAAGTTATTCTCACAGACGTTCTCATCAAAATGCTATTAATCTCATCAGTTATTTCTCAGTCATTGAGAATACACACAAAGACATCAAAATTACTATTCACACAATTAAAACCCATTCTCAGAGTCATCAAAGATAATTTTAATGATCAAGATAGCTCTTCCAGCATATTTAGTCTTTCACTGCTTTGCAGTTACTTATGAAAGATACTCTCTACTCATCTTCATGCATTTTAAGATTCTCTCCTAGACTGCAATATTACATCCCAAGATCATTTAATTATAATTTATACTTTCTAGCTCATCTTTATGCTTCAATTCGCCGAAAATAATCTCTTGCCAAAACAAACGGAGTTCATCATTCAATAAATAATATGTCAATTATATTTTTTTCCTATTTTAATCTTATATTCGCCTTATGTAGTACAAAAAACTTACTAGTCGTGTCATTATGTAGTTACAATCACCTTAAAGTTTTATATAAAACTAGACATGCTCAACTTTATGCAGTAATAAACTTATGTATACTGTATAAATGAGTAAAATCTTTCTACCAACTTAATACAAAGATGCAAAGTTCAGCATGTTATTGATGTTTTACTAGGGTTCTCACCTTTGTTTATATTAACTCTTTCACAAACACGATTCTTTAAGTAACTAGTTCACTTGTTCGTAACAAACTTTGGTTCCTGTTTATTAATAATTCTGATAAAACACGTTCTCTCTTCCACTGTATCTTAAACAGTTTTATGATCAACAATTCATCATCCCACATAACTGTTTAACTGTTCAAAGGAATTGATATATAGATGTTTGTTTATTTCAAAAGTTAAATTACTGAAATGGGTATTTTTTTTACGTTTTGAGGATATTCATTTAAGATAGGATATTAAAATATTTCAAATATTTATATATATAATATATATATATATATATATATATATATATATATATATATATATATATATATATATATATATATATATATATATATATATATATATATATATATATATATATATATATATATAGGCATTTGTTCAGTTCAAGGAAAATTTGTTAGAGATGCAAGTTTATGTACTTTGTACACTTTTTACTTAAAGTTCATCAAGTCTCTCATAAGGTGAATTTATCATGTTTGATATAATTGTTATTATTCTACACCCTTTAACATAATCTCTTTCTGTTCTTAGTATATTTTTTGGATTTTATATAATTTATTATTATTCTTTATCACCTCCAAAGTGGATCTGCAACATAAATACGCAGAAAAAGTAATAAATTGGGGCCCTGAAGACCGGACCCGTAAAGGGGGGGATCCAATTTATTATTTTTTTCTGGGTATCTATGTTACAATGTTGCAGATTCCCTTTGGAGGTGATATATAATAAGAATAAACTATATAAAATTTAAAAGCACACGTGAGTTGACTATTTATCCATCTTATTCATTTAATATTATTATTCACACGTATTTCTTATCATTCCTCTTCATACTTGAATTCATCTCTACCTTATTACACTCCTCCTCCATGCATACTCAAATGTATCTCCTACTACTCCACACTTTTATCACTAAAAAAAAAAAAAAAAAACTTTTTCTATGAATGAACTATTTTGATACTCGGACTAAACATTTTAGGTTTTCGCTCATTCATAAAATAGAACTTCCTACCCTGCATACACTAAACGATCTTTTTGAGACATTTTTCAATTTTGTTTTTCAAATTAGTTTTTTTAATTTGTTTTCAATACTTTGCAACATTACATCAGTATCCCCTTTGCTTCATCATCATCATTATCATTATCATGCAACATTGACTAGATCTGTGCACCATCTGTGCCACATATGTTGGGCACTGGACTCCGTGTGTGGTTCTAGTCCTCAATTTCCCTACTTTAACCCAATTTAACATAACCTAGTGTAGCCCAGCCTGACATAACCAAAGCTGTTACCACCCCTCGTACAGATATCGTGGACGCCTCGGGTCTACGCGTCTTGTACACGGAGACGCTGAGAGAGCACGACGCCGGGGTGCTGACCATCGGCCATGACATCAGCCCCTTGCTGGTCGTCCCTCCTGGCACACACTGGCTCACTGTAGGCATCTGTCACCCCGACTGTACCCAGCAGGTACACCTTGTTACTGTACCTAGCAGGTACACCTTGTTACACTATATTCCAGTACCCAGCAGGTACCTACACTGTATTACTGTACCCAGCAGGTACACCTTGTTACTGTACCCAGCAGTGTATTACTGTACACCTTGTTACTGTACCTAGTTGGTTCCTGTACCCAGTTGGTTCACTGTATTACTGTACCCAGCATGTACACCTTGTTCTTGCACCCAGTTGGTATACTGTACTCCAGCATGCACACCTTGTTCCTGTACCCAGTTGGCACACTATATTTCTGTACCCAGCAGGTACACCCTAAACGCACATGTTCAACTCTTGTACCTGTATCTACACCTGTGCCTCTACATATTCTTTGTATATGTAAATGTGGATGTGCTTGCACGTATACCTCTGTGTGTACCTCCACGTACATGTGTAGTCCTTTCTGTACCTCTGTATATACCTGAATGTACCTCCACCTGCTGAGCTTACAGATGTTCTAAGCTTGAACCTTTCCTCATGCCAGGGTTTACCTGAGGATGGAATAAAGGTGTTCGAAGTGCTGCTTCACTCACACATTCTGGGGTCAAAGATGAAGATCCGGCAGATCAGGCAAAACCAGGAGCTGGAACCACTCGTGCAAGGTGAGAGAAAGTTCACCTCTCTCTCTCTCTCTCTCTCTCTCTCTCTCTCTCTCTCTCTCTCTCTCTCTCTCTCTCTCTCTCTCTCTCTCTCTCTCTCTCTCTCTCTCTCTCTCTCTCTCTCCCTCCCTCTCTCCTCTCTCTCTCTCTCTCTCTCCCTCTCTATCTCTCTCTTCCTCTCTATCTCCCTCTCTCTCTCTCCCTGTCCCTCTACCTCTCTGTTCCTCTATCTCTCTCTATTTTTGTAGCTAAGATTAGGGTTATACATAAGAATGGAAGTAACTGCAGAAGGCTTATTGGCCCATACTTCCTCTGCTGCTTCCATATAGGTTTGGGGTCTTGGAATGGGTAGAATACAGTTGTGCACAACTATATTCACAACAATAAGCCTTCTGCAGTTACTTCCTTCTTATGTTCTCATACCAATTGTTTCGTGTTCTGTCTTATGTTTCACCTCGCCCACAACTTTTGTGGTATATCACCTCACCCAAAAACGAGTATAAGTATGAATGTATTTTGTGTGTAAATGGACTTGAAATGGACCATTAAAAACAAAGGGGAAGATAGACCATATCAACACTTTCGGCAGCCTCCTCCATGGGAAGAATCGAGTTTAAAAATAATCATTGAAGGATTACCAGTTAAAAAATCAGTATGCGACTCACAGAGGCTCAAAGCAGTCATAGAACAACAAATGGAAACCATCTCACGACCTACAATGACTCACATCTTCACAGACGGATCAGTTGATCAAGAAAGAGGTTCTGCTGGAGCAGCAGTTTACACTGTTATGATAAAGTACTTGTCATAGGAAGGTATGAAGTGTTACTCAGAAGGGCCAATAGCTAGAATCAAGATGTATCAAAAATAGTGGGATAGATAGACCCGGCCCCCAAGGAACATAGGTTCCTGTTAATGCTTCAAGGTTTTAGAAACAGGTCTGTTGTCTAGTATACAATCATCTACACCACTTCAGCAGGATTAATGGATACACCTCAAAAATTAACTTATTTATTAACCCCTCTTATAACCCCTCACACACCTTAATAACAATAACTACTTTACCACTCTACTTTACGTTAAAAGCCTTGGTCCACATAGGAAGGATACAAGGTTTTACAATTACCGACACTAGGGTAAAGTCTACTTGAATAGGGCACTAGCAAAGGCTATAGGTAGCCTGGGACAACTTGAGCACACGTGGTTTCACTACACCACCTAGAGCAATCTTGGGAATATAAACACTAGCTCAGGCTACACAAACTACTACACACTTTTGCCAGAGACCGGTTACACAGGGTTATACTTAACTTAGAGAATCACTGTAGACTAAGGTAAGGGAAAGGGAGAAAGAGGAGGAGAATGGAGACAGAGCCACACAGGGAAGATGTTGCCACAAGCACAGTAGTCCAGAGAAGACAGAACCAGCACTCAGTTCTCGAGCTCTCTCACGTTGTTGTTGCCGGGAAGCTACCTAGTTGATCGTGCAGCTACAAACAATACAAGACTTCACTGGCCTTCGTTACTAGTTACTTTAATAGTTCTAAGAATAGCTGATAACTAGTTCAATATTATATTTAATCAACAACAAGCTTAGAGTCTGAATGCTCTGTGAGAAACAAGATTCAACTTACGTTTGGCAAGAGCGACGGGAATAAGGCATACCCCTGGTTTTAAGGAGCCATGATATAAATGTTATTGTAATTAAATATCCTTCTCACATGATCCAATTCTATGAATTAATGTATAGTAATCATTTAGAGCTCAATTTGACCTCTGGTTTCCAGCTAAGGAACCCAGGGTCGTAACACTCCTCCCCTCTTCAGAGAAAAAAAAATGTGGCTACTAGAATAGTAGTCGTATTTTTTGTAAGAGCATGCAGAGAATAAAGGGAAAATCTATGCCATAAAAGAAAGTCAACCAGAACAAAAATTTCTCTGCAAGAAAAAGCACAAAGGAATTCTCTGAAAGAAAAAACACACAAAAATAAATTTGCTGAATGAAAAAACACACACAAAGAAATTCCCTGAAAGAAAAAACACATACTAAAAAAAAGTGGAAGTAAATAAACTTGACACGGAATATTTAATGTCACAGGAGAACCTAAAAAAAAAATAACTAAAGCATGACAGTTGGTATATGGCTTCCTGTGGCTCAGATGAATGTTACTCAGGTAACTGGGAGAGCGCATAGGCTATCATGTTGAGCCGGCCCGGTAGGTGGGTAATGGAAAGATTTAAGTCCTGTAGGTACAATGCCCACCTGAGGATGAGTTTATTTTTTGCCTTCATCTGGTGTAAAAACATCAGTTGGTAATGGTCCGTGTACGCTTCCACTATATTAGTTGTTAGATATACTTCAAATTTTTTACATGTTAACATTAGCGCCAACACTTCTTTTTCCACCATTGAATAATTGCGTTGGGCCTTGTCAAATTTCACAGAGTAATAGTATACTGGGTGGTCCACTTGATCATCCTCCAGTTTGCAACAACACTGCACCAGCACCCGAGTCAGACGCATCAACATGAATTTTAAATGGTCGGTCGAACCTTGGACTAGTGAGCACTGGGGCGGAAGCTAAGATCAATTTCAAATTTTTGAATGCCTCTGCACAGTCTGTTGACCACTTAAATTTAACGGCCTTCCCCAACAAGTCCGTGAGATGAATGGCGACACTGGAAAAGTTCTGAGAAAAGCGTCGGTAGTACGCACACATACCGATAAACCTTTGAACGTCCTTTTTAGACCGGAGCACTTGATACTCCAGAATGGCACTGATTTTATCTTGCCGAGGTAACACTTTTCCTTGGCCCACTTCATAATCGAGATACGTCAGTGTGCCTTGGCCAAAATGACACTTTTTTTGCATTTAAGGTTAGATTTGCACTTTTCAAAACTGTGAAACACTGGCATAACCTAGCTATGTGGTCAGCCCAATTTCTATCAAACAGCACAATGTCATTTAAATATGCCCGACAATTTGGCACATTTGCAAGCAGAGAGTTCATTAGCCTCTGGAACGTTGCAGGGGCATTACGCAAGCCGAACGGTAACACTTGATACTCGAAGACACCATCGGGTGTTACGAACGCAGTTAGTTGCTTGGCATGTTCGGTGAGCGGGATCTGATAGTATCCTCTCGAGAGATCGAATTTCGAGACGTACGTGGCGTTTCCGATCTCGTCGATGCAGTCTTCTAGGAGGGGCAGCAGATAGGCATCCACAATGGTCACCTTGTTGAGCTGCCGATAGTCGGTGCATAATCGCCAGGAGCCGTCTGGTTTGGGGACCAAAAGGCAGGGCGAGCACCAAGAGCCCTGGCTCGGCCGGATGAGGCCGTGCTGGAGCAGGAAGTCGACTTCGTTCCGCACGATGGCCTTTTTTCCAGACTCATCCGATAGGGTTGAAGACGAATGGGGGTGTAGTCCGTCAACTTGACATCATGGTAGATGGCATCAGTCTGGGTCGGGACCTCCCCGAACAGACTGGAGAATTCGTCAAGTAACGACTGCACCTCTTCACGTTGGGCCATCTGGAAATGGGACAGTCTCTCCTCCACAGCATTCACATAACTAGAATTATTGAGAATGAGATTAGTTGGGTCCCCAGAACAATCATCCCCTCCCTCACTGGAAAAGGAAACATTGGTTAAAGCGACGGGCCTGGGGCCCTGGAACTTCTTCAGACGGTTCAAGTGTACAAGCATCACCTGGTTATGCTTGTCAGAGTGCCTCACTTTGTACGTGAGGTCCCGAACCTTTTCTGTCACTATATAGGGGCCTTTGCACTTGTGGGACATAGTGTTCCCTAGTCGAGGCTTTAATACCAGGACAGGGTCACCAGGCTAAATACCCGCAACTGAGCCTTAGCATCGTGTCGTTCTTTCATATTTTCTTGGGCCTTCCCAAGATACTTTAGTGCAGCCGACTTGCAGTCCTTGAGTCTCTGGTGGTGTTGCGCAAAGAAAGCCGAACCTTCGGTCAACGTTACGTTCCCTAACAGATTCTCCTGTAACATTTGCAAGGGTCCACGAACTTTATGGCCAAAGACTAACTCAAAAGGAGAACAACCCAGTGAACTTTGCAGCCCCTCTCGAGCAGCAAATAAAACATAAGGCAGGTTCTTATCCCAGAATGTGAAGGAATTCTCGCACAATGTCTTCAGCATCTCCTTAAGGGTTTGATGGAACCGCTCAATTACCCCCTGACTCTGTGGATGGTATGGGCTAGAAACCTTATGAGTTATTCCATGGTCCTTACAGAAGTTCTCAAAAATATCAAACTTAAAATTAGTACCACTGTCAGTTTGCACGACCCGAGGCAGTCCAAAAGTAGAAAAAAATTGCAACATACGAGCAACAACAGTCTTTGCTCGGATATTCTTTACAGCAAAAGCCTCCAGGGGCAACTCTGATGAAACTCTGATGTCTGATGTCTGCAGCAGCTTTTGAGCAGAATTCTGCTCAAAAGGAGGCATTCAGCAGAATTCTGTGTTGAGTTTCATGTACGAGATGGAGAACAATGGGAAGGTGCCCTTTCTGGATGTAACAGTCACGGAAAGAAGCGGAGGCTTCCATACTGCAGTCTACACCAAAGAAACAAACATAGGAATGTGCCTCAATGCCAATAGTGACTGCCCAGACAGGTACAAGAGGAGCGTTGTCAACGCTTACGTCGACCGTGCTCTAAGCCACAGCTCAGGAGGGAAAGAAGTCGATGAAGATCTCTGTAGGGTGAGGCAAGTCCTAGTCAACAACGGCTTCTCTAACGGTTTCGTTGAAGACATCATAAAAAGAAAGGTTAAACGCTATGCAAATTCGCGAGAATCACCCAACACAACACTTGTACCCAGAATTAGACTATTTTACAGGAACTTCTTTTCGATGGCTCATAAAACGGAGGAAAGGGTCCTGAAAGATATTGTTGATGGGAACGTCATCCCTACAGACAAAAATCAGAAAATACAATTTATAATTTATTATAAAACCAAAAAAACGGCCAATCTACTCATGAAAAACTCCCCAGACACCAAGCAGAACGCTTTGAAGGAGACCAATGTCGTCTATGCCTTTAAATGCCCACTTGAGGACTGTAAGCCCCAAAGAAATCAGTATATAGGCAAGACAACAACGTCTTTTTCTAGGCGACTAACAATGCATAAGCAACAGGGAGCCATAAAGGAACACATAATCTCTTCTCACAACCAGACCATCACCAGAGAAATCTTAACAAACAACACAGAAATCATCGATAGGTACGGCGATAGCAGGCGGCATGACATCAGCGAGGCACCACACATCAATAAGTCAACACCAGCAATCAACAGTCAATTAATGCACAACTATATTCTACCTACTTCATGACCCCGAACCAATATGGAAGGGCAAGAAGAAGTATGGGCCAATAGACCTTCTGCAGTTACTTCCATTCATATGTTCACTTATCCAAGTTATACCCATTGTTTCGTGTTCTGTCTTGTGTTTGTCACCTCACCCAAAACCTTTGTACCATATCACCTCATCCAATAGAGTATAAGTACGAAGAATTTGTGTGTAAATTAAGTCTTTGAAAATGTAATACGAATTACGAAACGCGTTCAGGCGTCAGACAATTAAAAAATGAATTTCGGAGAATTGTTATTTGTATTACCACAGATAGTGTAGAAAAACATAAGAAATATCGAGAAGATTCGTGTTAGAATTATTAATCTTACCCTTTCGGTCATATTCAACAACATATATATATATATATATATATATATATATATATATATATATATATATATATATATATATATATATATATATATATATATATATATATATATATATATATATATATATATATATATATATTATATATATATATATATATATATATATATATATATATATATATATATATATATATATATATATGTCGTACCTAGTAGCCAGAACGCACTTATAGGCCTACTATGCAAGGCCCGATTTGCCTAATAAGCCAAGTTTTCCTGAATTAATATATTTTTTTAGTTTTTTTCTTATGAAATGATAAAGCTACCCATTTCATTATGTATGAGGTCAATTTTATTTTATTTGAGTTAAAATTAGCGTAATATATGACCGAACCTATCCAACCCTACCTAACCTAATCTAACCTATCTTTACAGGTTAGGTTAGGTTGCCTAAAAAGTTAGGTTAGGTTAGGTTAGGTAGGTTAGGTAGTCGAAAAACCATTAATTCAGGAAAACTTGGCTTATTAGGCAAATCGGGCCTTGCATAGTAGGCTGAGAAGTGCGTTCTGGCTACTAGGTACGACATATATATATATATATATATATATATATATATATAATATATATCTATATATATATGTATATATATATATTATATATATATATATATATATATATATATATATATATATATATATATATATATATATATATATATATTTATAATATAATCTCTCTATCTTTCTCTATATATATATTCAGCCAACCAATACTAATGATCGCCTGTATCTGCCCGCAGACTTGAACTACGACTTCAGTTTCCAGCACCAGAGGCCAGTGAACAACATAAGTGTTCTCCGCGGGGACGCCCTCATCCTTGAGTGTGACTACGACTCCACCAGCCGCGACCACACCACCTTCGTGAGTTCTGGCCACTGCTTGAAAGCACCAAATTTCCCGTTAAAATAATAGACGTGGAGTCGCTGGATTGTTTCAAGCGTAGGTTAGACATATACATGAGTAAATTAGTAAATGTAGTGTCATCTGCCTGCAGCAGCATCATACAGTGTCATCTGCCTGCAGCAGCATCATACAGTGTCATCTGCCTGCAGCAGCATCATACAGTGTCATCTGCCTGCAGCAGCATCATACAGTGTCATCTGTCAGCAGTAGCATCATACAGTGTCATCTGCCTGCAGCAGCATCATACAGTGTCATCTGCCTGCAGCAGCATCATACAGTGTCATCTGCCTGCAGCAGCATCATACAGTGTCATCTGCCTGCAGTAGCATCATACAGTGTCATCTGCCTGCAGCAGCATCATACAGTGTCATCTGTCAGCAGTAGCATCATACAGTGTCATCTGCCTGCAGCAGCATCAGTGTCAAAAACTACATAACACTAATGGGAGTCATTATAACAACATGCAACGTAATGGGAGTCATTATACAACAACATGCAATACGTAATGGGAGTCATTATAACAACATAACACGTAATGGGAGTCATTATAACAACACACGTAATGGAAGTTATTATAAAAACCACGTAATGGGAGTCATTATAACAACATAACACGTCACACGTAATGGGAGTCATTATAACAACATAACACGTAATGGGAGTCATTATAACAACATAACACGTAATGGGAGTCATTATAACAACATAATGGGAGTCACGTAATGGGAGTCATTATAACAACATAACACGTAATGGGAGTCATTATAACAACATAACACGTAATAGTAGTCATTATAACAACATGCCACGTAATGGGAGTCATTATAACAACATAACACGTAATGGGAGTCATTATAACAACATGCCACGTAATGGGACTCATTATAACAACATAACACGTAATGGGAGTCATTATAACAACATGCCACGTAATGGGAGTCATTATAACAACATAACACGTAATGGGAGTCATTATAACAACATAACTCATTATAACACGTAATGGGAGTCATTATAACAACATAACACGTAATGGGAGTCATTATAACAACATAACACGTAATGGGAATCATTATAACAACATATCACGTAATGGGAGTCATTATATCAGCATAACACGTAATGGGACTCATTATAACAACATGCCACGTAATGGGAGTCATTATAACAACATGCCACGTAATGGGAGTCATTATAACAACATGCCACGTAATGGGAGTCATTATAACAACGTAACACGTAATGGGACTCATTATAACAACATAACACGTAATGGGACTCATTATAACACATAACACGTAATGGGAGTCATTATAACAACATAACACGTAATGGGAGTCATTATAACAACATAACACGTAATGGGAGTCATTATAACAACATAACACGTAATGGGAGTCATTATAACAACATAACACGTAATGGGAGTCATTATAACAACATAACACGTAATGGGAGTCATTATAACAACATGCCACGTAATGGGACTCATTATAACAACATGCCTCGTAATGGGAGTCATATAACAACATAAACACGTAATAGGAGTCATTATAACACGCCACGTAATGGGAGTCATTATAACAACACGTAATGGGATCATTATAACAACATAACACGTAATGGGAGTCATTATAACAACATAACACGTAATGGGAATCATTATAACAACATATCACGTAAGGGAGTCATTATATCAGCATAACACGTAATGGGACTCATTATAACAACATAACACGTAATGGGAGTCATTATAACAAACATGCCACGTAATGGGAGTCATTATAACAACATGCCACGTAATGGGAGTCATTAAAACAACATAACACGTAATGGGAGTCATTATAACATGCCACATAACACGTAATGGGAGTCCACATTATAACAACGTAACACGTAATGGGAGTCACTATAACAACATAACACGTAATGGGACTCATTATAACAACATAACACGTAATGGGAGTCACTATAACAACATAACACGTATGGGACTCATTATAACAACATAACACGTAATGGGAGTCATTATAACAACATAACACGTAATGGGAGTCATTATAACATAACACGTAATGGGACTCATTATAACGTAATGGGAGCCATCAACATAACACGTAATGGGAGTCATTATAACAACATAACACGTAATGGGACTCATTATAACAACATAACACGTAATGGGAGTCATTATAACACCATAACACGTAATGGGAGTCATTATAACAACATAACACGTAATGGGAGTCATTATAACAACATAACACGTAATGGGAGTCATTATAACAACATAACACGTAATGGGAGTCATTATAACAACATAACACGTAATGGGAGTCATTATAACAACATAACACGTAATGGGAGTCATTATAACAACATAACACGTAATGGGAGTCATTATAACAACATAACACGTAATGGGAGTCATTATAACAACATAACACGTAATGGGAGTCATTATAACAACATAACACGTAATGGGAGTCATTATAACAACATAACACGTAATAGGAGTCATTATAACAACATGCCACGTAATGGGAGTCATTATAACAACATGCCACGTAATGGGAGTCATTATAACAACATAACACGTAATGGGAGTCAATATAACAACATACCACGTAATGGGAGTCATTATAACAACATAACACGTAATAGGAGTCATTATAACAACATGCCACGTAATGGGAGTCATTATAACAACATAACACGTAATGGGAATCATTATAACAACATAACACGTAATGGGAGTCATTATAACAACATAACACGTAATGGGAGTCATTATAACAGCATAACACGTAATGGGAGTCATTATAACAACATGCCACGTAATGGGAGTCATTATAACAACATGCCACGTAATGGGAGTCATTATAACAACGTAACACGTAATGGGAGTCATTATAACAACATGCCACGTAATGGGAGTCATTATAACAACGTAACACGTAATGGGAGTCATTATAACAACATGCCACGTAATGGGAGTCATTATAACAACGTAACACGTAATGGGAGTCATTATAACAACATGCAACGTAATGGGAGTCATTATAACAACGTGTAATGGGAGTCATTATAACAACATGCCACGTAATGGGAGTCATTATAACAACGTAACACGCAATGGGAGTCATTATAACAATAACACGTAATGGGAGTCATTATAACAACATAACACGTAATGGGAGTCATTGTAACAACATAACACGTAATGGGAATTATAACAACATAACACGTAATGGGAGTCATTATAACAACGTAACACGTAATGGGAGTCATTATAACAACATAACACGTAATGGGAGTCATTATAACAACGTAACACGTAATGGGAGTCATTATAACAACGTAACACGTAATGGGAGTCATTATAACAACATAACACGTAATGGGACTCATTATAACAACGTAACACATTATCATTATCATTTGACACAGTGTTATTTAGATTTAGTTTTGTTCTGCTTAGAACAGATGGAGTTTGTTATTTGCTTCTGTTCAATATTGTTACTCATATGTTGAGTCTCCCAACACTCACTCATTACCCAGTGAGTCTCCCAACACTCACTTATTACCCAGTGAGTCTCTCAACACTCACTCATTACCCAGTGTGTCTCCCAACACTCACTTATTACCCAGTGAGTCTCTCAACACTCACTCATTACCCAGTGAGTCTCTCAACACTCACTCATTACCCAGTGAGTCTCCCAACACTCACTCATTACCCAGTGAGTCTCTCAACACTCACTCATTACCCAGTGAGTCTCTGTCAGTTGAGATTTGGAGTAGCTGGTTTGTCTGGGTGTTCGGGTGTGTGCATTTACCTGTCAGTGACTACGGGGGAGTGGGCTCTGTAGGCCCCGTCTACTGCGCTCTTTGTTCCTGTTGCGTTGGAATTGATCTGTTCTTAAGTTGCAGTTCTTTTGTCGAATCTGGCTTTTGCGGTGTGTGTGTGTGTGTGTGTGTGTGTGTGTGTGTGTGTGTGTGTGTGTGTGTGTGTGTGTGTGTGTGTGGTGTGTGTGTGTGTGTGTACTCACCTAGTTGTACTCACCTAGTTGTGTTTGCGGGGGTTGAGCTCTGGCTCTTTGGTCCCGCCTCTCAACCGTCAATCAACAGGTGTACAGATTCCTGAGCCTATCGGGCTCTATCATATCTACACTTGAAACTGTGTATGGAGTCAGCCTCCACCACATCACTTCCTAATGCATTCCATTTGTCAACCACTCTGACACTAAAAAAGTTCTTTCTAATATCTCTGTGGCTCATTTGGGCACTCAGTTTCCACCTGTGTCCCCTTGTGCGTGTTCCCCTTGTGTTAAATAGACTGTCTTTATCTACCCTATCAATTCCCTTCAGAATCTTGAATGTGGTGATCATGTCCCCCCTAACTCTTCTGTCTTCCAGCGAAGTGAGGTTTAATTCCCGTAGTCTCTCCTCGTAGCTCATACCTCTCAGCTCGGGTACTAGTCTGGTGGCAAACCTTTGAACCTTTTCCAGTTTAGTCTTATCCTTGACTAGATATGGACTCCATGCTGGGGCTGCATACTCCAGGATTGGCCTGACATATGTGGTATACAAAGTTCTGAATGATTCTTTACACAAGTTTCTGAATGCCGTTCGTATGTTGGCCAGCCTGGCATATGCCGCTGATGTTATCCGCTTGATATGTGCTGCAGGAGACAGGTCTGGCGTGATATCAACCCCCAAGTCTTTTTCCTTCTCTGACTCCTGAAGAATTTCCTCTCCCAGATGATACCTTGTATCTGGCCTCCTGCTCCCTACACCTATCTTCATTACATTACATTTGGTTGGGTTAAACTCTAACAACCATTTGTTCGACCATTCCTTCAGCTTGTCTAGGTCTTCTTGAAGCCTCAAACAGTCCTCTTCTGTTTTAATCCTTCTCATAATTTTAGCATCGTCCGCAAACATTGAGAGAAATGAATCGATACCCTCCGGGAGATCATTTACATATATCAGAAACAAGATAGGAC